AGTGTCGATTAACCGTTTTCGAAAATCATGAAAAGTAAATGACAGACATGTTTAAGGCAAGAAGTATTTCGAGACTCACAGGTTAGTCCCAAGAGGCGAAACCTGTCGCAATTCTTCCACGTCATTAAAGACGATTGCAGAACCGCCGCCGGCTGTCGGGATGATTGCGCCCTATTGGATTAAAGGAATGTAAAGCTGGGAAGAGATCGAAGAGTTGGTTGAAGAAATGCGAGATATCGCAGGGCTTGAAATATCTTACAAATACTAATAGAGAGCAACTAATGAAAACTAAACACAAGTGCCCAACGATCACCGAGCTGATGACGTTAAAGTGAACTCAGCAAAGCTCTCAGATGCCTAGTAAGTTTACCTTGAAGAGTCTTGTTTCCACATTGCCCTCGGGTGTAGCAGTCTGATGGTGCAGTACATAGTTAGTAGCTTGAAGGGTATCATCCAACTCGATTCGTGTGACCGATTTGCGCACGTTTACGCTAGTGGGAGAGAAAATCGTTCCCAGGGGCGTTGGACGATTTTCCTTGTGCTCCAGCCATACACCATGGTCACCGCCAACAGATCTGGATCGCCGATGCCGTGGATTAAACGCTGGTGGACGATCGAAAGCATCTCCAAGAGCAACTTCGGTGTGAAAGCGCGGAATGGGTGTTTTGCTGCGTAGGCCTATTCTCACATCTTGCTGTTCCCGTTCTGCTGCCAATCGCATCTCCCACTGACGTGAAAGAGCTGCTACCCGATTCTACAAACCATAAGAGACTTTCGTGTGAAGAAAATGCATTGGTGCACCGTAGCTAAAGTACTGTGAGCCATAATTCGTATCCTTTGAAAGACCTATCAATGGCATAAGAATAGCTTTTTTGGACTAGACAGCATAAAAATTGAAGAACAATACGCTAGAGATAAACTAAAACCAGCACGTTTGCCACACGCATTCCTTAATTCATTCAACAACAAAAAAGAAGGGGTCTGAATTGATCCACTTCCAAGCGAGTCTCAATCATAACTAACCTTTGACGAAGGGGCAGGAGCAGCCTTTTTGGATCGATGTTTTGAACTGGTAGTTTCATCGATGGTGCCATCGGAACCTACGCAGGAAGCAACTGATGGGGGACCGTGATAATCCCGCTTCGATCGCAGGAGAGTACGTGATGTTTGGAGGGCGTCAAGCTGAGCCTTAAGTTTATTTGCCTGTGCCTTCAAACCGCTCATCTCACGCATTCGTTCGGTGCGCTCAAATAAAACTAGTGCCTCCTGCTTCGTGATCTCATTCTAAATGCGAAGATACAACGAAATTCGGCCAATCATGCTCCTCAAGAATACAAGGGGTACCACACTAGATTAAATAAGTTTAACGATTAAATTATGTTTTCCGCTTTGAAAAGGCTCCACAAGCGGATGCAGTTGTACTCAATGGGAACATAGCTGGTGAGTGAACTGGAGGGTAATTTAAACAATGAAACGTTCAATGGTGCACGACACAGAAGGACGTTTAAAAAGTATGCTGACAAGACTAAACCAAATAACAACTAAGAAATGAATCACTATGATTGCATAAAATTCGTTTAAACATAAAAGCGTCTTTTGATTCAATGAAACAATCGTGAATACTTGGTTCCCCTATGACCGGGTATGGCCTGGTAATGCGCTTACTTCAAACCTTGAAAGTGAAGAATTGTGGCATCAATAATTAATCAAAGTCAGAAAAAGCTCACAAACCTCTAAGTAACGATTTCTAGACTCCAGCTGCAGTTTTTCGACTTTTAACTTATCCAAAGTGTCACGTAATGCGAGATAAGAATCCTCTGATTCACTACCATGAAAATCCTCATTAGTGTAGGATTCTAACTCCATTGAAAAGCGAGCCAAGACACCACGAATTCGGTCACGTTCAATAAAACGTGCTTGAAGAGCAGAAAAAAGGGGACAATTAGGTGAGTGCCATGGAATCCACGAAGGAGACCTCCGCGCTCTCTTCGAACTGCGCCGCTGGCTTTTGCGGGATTCAAAACAACCACACAAATTTAAAGGGAAGATATCTGCAGAGGATGATGTGATGGAAGATACCGAGTCCAACAGTGATGCATCAAGTGCTTGTATCGACGAGACGGCCGCCATTATCTCTTCACTGTAAACCTAGTAAACAAAGCTCCTGAGGATGAGAGCCGCAAAATATTTTTGAACTGTTGAGAAACTCAACAGAAACATCCAAATAAGTGGAACTCAATGTAGGATAGACAGTCAATTGGATGTACGACAAGCAATTACCGTAAAAGCATTAGTCAGAGTTAGAATAAAAGTTGTAACGTACTAGCAAGTCGGACGACTTCCTTGAGTTATAGTCAGCATTGGCGAGTATAGTGGGAATTGTAGTTAAGACTTGTTGACTTTGTTCCGCGAATTGAAGAACATGCTGAGGAAACAAAGGCCACCAGTGAAAGGTGGACAAAAA